TGTTTTATCAAATTTACTCTTCTAACACTTTTACCATTCTTTAACACTGTTCGATATAATAAAGAAACCTAAATCGGAATCACATTTCACCCACATTAACATATAACTTAACCAATTATTTACTGGCTTCGCTTCGATATCTTCTTCAAAACATCAAAGAGATTGGATTATAAATAGACTTTAAAGAAAATAAATTGATAAGAATAAGAATAAAAAAGAACAGGGTACTAGCTCCCATTTGAGCAGAGCACCGCGACCATGATTGATCGTTTGTGCTACAACAGACCCTAACTGAACAAAAGACATTCCGCCTTTCGAATGAAGGCCAAAATGTCGGTTGTTGAGGACCTCTTAATGTCGGAAGGTGCTAGCAATTCCCGACCTAGCGATCTCCTCCTGGCCCAGATCAAAGCTGAGCAGTCACATAGAATGTGGCTGGTTGTCTCCTCTGCCTCCAAGCAGAGTCTACAATCTATCTCTTCGGATAGGCCCATTTTGTTGAGGTGATAACGTAGCCCATGGTGACAATTGATAATGATATCAGTTTATTGTGATGACTTTATTCATATGTTATTATAGAATCACCTGTTACATCAGTGACATTATGACAAAAGAAGATGAAAGTAGATTTAAACCACTAGAATAAGCCACAACCAAATCTCTGACAAATATGAATTTTTCAAATTAAAATAATATTATCAACAAAAATAACTTGAACCGATTTGAGACAAGTTAGCTATTTGATATAGTTATATCTCAAGAAAACTACACTTATTCTCCTATCAACTTATGTCATCAGAACCTATAGCATTCTAATCAACCATATTATTATATGTAGTTCTATGAGCTGGAATATTGGCTGTTCGTGACGCGACATTCTTTGTTATCAAGCATATTGACAAGAGAATTAATTTTCATAGAAAAAAAAATAGACAAATCAACTAAATGAGATACAGTCAAACCTCTCTATAGCGAACCTGCCTATAACGAATTCCTCTCTATAAAGAAGATTTGTTGAAGACACAGCGATTGTTTGAAATATTTCATATATGTTACTTGAACCTCTCTATGTTATATCGAATTCCTTTCTATAACGAAGTTACGTACCTGAACGTAAACAAATTTTTACATACAAAAAAATCTCTATAACAAATTTATTCAAATATAAGGTAACGAGTCAACTAACACGTTTGAACTTATGAGAGACTTCTTCGCTTTTAAAGATTGGTAGAGAGTTTTTAGAGAGCATAATTTTTAGATATTTTTGAAAAGGCTTTTTCGAGTTGAATAAAAAAATAAATTATAAAAATTTAAGTTCTACATAATAATAAATTAGATAGCACTTAATAGATATAATTTTTCTAAATACAAACGAATATATGATTAATATTTTTAATGTTATGTATTTTATATATGTAAACATGAATTAAATATATTTCTTAAATAAATACGTACGTAAAAGCCCAATAAAGCCCAATAAAAGAAAATTTGTTTAACCTATCTATAACAAAAACCTCTTTATAACGAAGTTCTTTGCAGGCACCAGAGATGTCGTTATAGAGAGGTTTGGGTATGTGCTCATTTTTTACAATGTTGCCCAACAGCTATTATTCCAGAACACAAGAAAGCTAACTTATAATATTTTTCAGTTTAGATTCCAGATTTATAGGCCAATTATATGAACTGAATTAATAACTCACGGTTAAAAAATTATATATGATAATAATATATATGATAATAATATTTTTATTATTTTAAAATTGAAATAATAATACGAAAATGGAAAAACGAGTATTTGAAATAGCCAAAAAAAACTAAATTTGGCGGAGACTAATGTTGGAACAATTTTACCTGACTCCTAATTCAAAAAATCAGGTTTGGAGGTAAATGAGCATATAGTTTTCATTCACGAATTATTCCATTCAATAATTCTGAATTACTGCAATATAAGTTTATTGTTTTACTAGTTTTCTTCCTCATGAACACTAACATCTTCTTAGCTGATAACCGTACACAAACCGGAATCGATGAGCGAATTCAGGACCATACATATAGATCCAAATCTCATCTATAGCAATATAACATAATATTTTTAATGTAGCACTTAACTTTTCAAAATAATGAAATAAACACTTAAATTTTCTTAGCTGATAACCATACACAAACCCACTTTGGAATCGATGACCGAATTCAGGACCATATATATTGATCCACATCTCATCCAAAGCAATATAAGATAATATTGTTTACGTGGCACTTAGCTTTTTATATTAATGAAGTGAAATTACATAAATAGAATTTTCATACTCCAATTTCTCCTGCCCACTCTCATTAGGTGGGCATTATCGGACAATATGCTCTTAAACAATTGAAATTCAACAAATACTTAAAATAAATTTTTAATATACTTATAATAACTAATTGAATAACTGAAATAAACAAAATCAAATAATTTTATATTTCTTGAAAACTATTTACATATGAGTAATTTTCTTAAAATGTTTGTCCTAAAATTTTCGAATTTTTTAATTTTTGGTGCTGTTAAACTTTTTTATGCTAATATTTTTATTAATTTAATTTAATTTATATGCTCAGCTTGAATAAAGACTTTTACAAAAGTTTTCGAAGCATCGAAAACATTTTTTTCAAGAAGGCAACAAATTTTCATAAATTAAATGTTTTGCAACACTGGTAAAAAGAGTTTTAAGTAGTAAAAGCAAATTTGATTTGGTTTATGTCACAGCTAAGTACAGTGTTGCACTTCAAAAATAAAATTTTAAAATTTATTGTTAATGGAATCCGTTTACTCTGTATTAATTAACGCATGATACTACATTTACATTGTGAGAGTAAGAGAACGAGATTAGGTTAATCTGCATTTTTAATCTATACCGTTAACATTATATATTGAAGATTCACTTTCGTGTGTTTGATAAATTTCTGTAAATAAAGCATTTAATTACAATTTTGTATAAAAAAATTTTAATATGTATATACTTAATATATTGTTTTATAACAAAATTTAACAAATTGTAGTCATAATTATATACAATTTCTATACAAATTTTCAAATTTTTAATGCTTATTTTACATAGATTTTGACATATCTCTTGAAGACCGTAAAAAAATCTACGACACAAAGACATTTCTTCTAAGATCGTAATAAAATCTTCGACATTAAGACATTCGCAGAGTTGCATTGAGAAATAATAATCATTTTAAAGGAGTTTAACAACTAATCTCGACGAAAAGGAGATAAACTTTTGTATGGGAAATCTGAGATGAACAACAAGGATAATACTTTAATCTCGATTTTTGCTTTAGTCTACTTTTAATCACACAATGTAAACGCCGTATTATTTATAAATCAAGGCTCGTATATATTGATTTGAAATGGTTAAAATTTACATAAATTGTGTTCAATATTGATGAAAAGAAAACTTATACTTAAGCTTAGGCTAAAAACTTTTCCAACATCTTCTTTCCCAGGAATAGAACTTGCAATACTTAATGTATTAAATTAAATTAAATTAAATTAAATTAAATTAAATTAAATTAAATTAAATTAAATTAAATTAAATTAAATTAAATTAAATTAAATTAAATTAAAATAAATTAAATTAAATTAAATAAATAAAATAAATTAAATTAAATTAAATTAAATTAAATTAAATTAAATTAAATTAAATAAAATAAAATAAATTAAATTAAATTAAATAAATTAAATTAAATTAAATTAAATTAAATAAATTAAATTAAATAAATTAATAAATAAATTAAATTAAATTAATTAAATTAAATTAAATTAAATTAAATTAAATTAAATTAAATTAAATTAAATTAAATTAAATTAAATTAAATTAAATTAATGTATTAAATTATGCAGTCTAGGATCTTATTATCTAATCCTCGATTATAAGTTTTGAAACCTCAATACCGAGTTGTTTATTCTCAATTTGGACTCTATGCAATATCGTAATCACTCCACGTGTTTCTTTTCAGATCAAGACGTTGTTTAGTATTCGATTATCATTCGATTCCAATCTTTTCTGTCACATATCGGTTCTAAGACACCGCTGGGACCATTATTGTTCGGCAATTCTAGAACCCTTAAAGTAACGCCTACATTGTTTAACAAGTTATTTGTTTTCTTGTAACTTTACCAACCATTACATGTTTCTAATAATATAATTACGATAATCACCATTCTCAGATATTACAGTACATCCAAATAAGCATTCACAATAAATGAGTTTTTAGTCTTGGCAAACGTGCGGTTTTAGTTGATTATTAGTTAAGCAATTTTAAAAAATTTCTACGTAAAATATTTTAATTTAGTTTTTATTTTGTTTTGCTTTGGTAGAACTATCCATCATTGCAAAAATGTTTTGATTTATTACGTTGAAAATATTTTTTATTTCTCAAAATTATTCATAATATAACAAAAAATTATACAATTGTGTATAATAAACTTAATACTGTGGAAATTAATATTTAATTGTATTACAATTTTATTACAAAAATAAATTTAACATTCATAGGCCGTGTGTGAGTTTAAGTCAATTGAGATAAAGTAAATTGAAATTTTCTAGAGATTTTTTGCACTGTACTTATGTAAATATTTAATTATAAATTTATTGCACTTCTTTATTATTTTTAGTTAAAAGTTTTCACATTTATTTTTTTTATTTATTAAACATCACCTAATTTACCCTTATCGAAATTCTAGTAAATACCAACATTCGCTGCCATATCGACATAATTGACTACTTATCTTAATTTACCATCAATTTACTCGAACTCGCACACAGTCGTAATAAGTAAAAACAAGACAAGTAATTTTGAATGCGTTATAAAAAGCTTCTTTCAACACTGAAAATATACACAGTTCTTATGCGTGCTCAAATGCAACTCTGCAAGTTTTTTCGTCGAACGTCGTTCAATTTATCGCTTGCGACCAGCTGTTAGTAGTTAAGTAAATCATATTCCTCTTTCGTTTGTACTAATTTTTGTTTTGTTGCTCGGCATAAGCATGCATAAAATAGCTGCCTATAGTAATTTTGACATAACGAAAAAAGGTCGAAAAGTAAAGGCTATCAGAAGCGTGCTTCAGATATTATTACAAGTTAAAATATAGCAATAATTATTTTAAAAAATATTCAAAATTGAATTTGAATTTTGTATTAAACGGAAGTAAAACGTACAACAAAGTTTTAACGGAAATCATTAAGTCCAAAGTTTTGATTGTAAATATATATTTATTTTAAGGTGTGACTATTTACTTTAATGAAGAATTAGTGCACATACGATTACTTAACCAATTTTTATATGTAATTTCTAGTGTAAATTAAGAACATTAAGCGAAAATGAATATTTCAAAAACTAATGTTAATGGCTTGACCGGCGCTCAAGTATTGACAGCAAGTGGAACACTCTCTCAACCAAGTAGGCAGTCCCACCAAATCAGGGAATCAACTGTGGCTATGGCGAAACCACTGCATTTGCAACGCTTAGAACGAGCATTGGATATGAAACCATTTATGAAGTATGCGCGTGAAATTTTAGCCAAACCATTAAGTAGTGAAGATGATAGTGCCGAGGACTCTACTGAAGCCTGCTCCGATAATGAATCAGAAAATGGAACCAATCGAAAGAAATGCAAAAAATTGTTTGGTTCAAGAATAGGTATAAAAGAATAGCCTTTTAAATTGTTTCCTTTGCATGCGTGAAAACCTAACTCATTGCAGCAAAGTCATCAGTAATTAATATTTTATAACCTTTAATTATTATAATTAAACTCTTTCTAGAGCGTCAAAATATAAAAATGCACCTTTATAACTTCTCTGAGTTGAGCAACGATCGTGAATGGTTGTTTTCCATAGTATTAAGTGACACTGAATCAGAGTCAGAACTCAGCGATGAGGACGATTATATAAAGCAGTTATTGAAATCTCATCGGAAAATGCAAAAGGAACGTGAACGCTATTATAAAACCCCTACTGTACGTTACAATTTAATTAATAAATAAAATGTTAAATTTTTAATTAATGTACAAATTATTAAATATATATATGTTATCTTTAGAACAATCAGTATACCTATTACGGAAGTGGTTTTCTATCCTGCATTGACATGCATCCCGACCATCAGCAGTCTATAATTGGTGTGCGCAAGCGTAAACGACGTGCAAAGAATGAAAATAAGTCAACCTTACCCAAATTACAAAAACTGACGAAAATTCGTAAATCTCGCAAAAACATTCCAAACGATGAGCCTGAATCTGGAGAAATTCATCCTTCAGAACTAAAGAACTATGCTTTCGGTGATACCTCAGCCGTGAATGATGATGACTTATCTGATGAAGCTGATGCCTATAGTAGTGCTGCACTATCTAGCAAAGCAAATAGCTCAGCCGTACGTAGCAAAAGTCGTAGAAATTTGTTGGCGTCTCCTGAAGTGTTAGCGGCACGTAGAAAACGCGTTTGGCAATTAATGTGTAAAAAGGAAATAACTCGCTGTCATCGCTTGAGGATTAACAACCACAAGGAAGTAATACAGAGCAGCAAGCGAGTTGCAGGTATGTGCATGAAAGTAGTGCGTCAGCGTGCCATGCAATCGCAACGTGTTATGAAGGAAACTGTGTGGCGTGCAAAACGGCTCTCACGAGAGATGCTGGGCTATTGGAAACGTTATGAACGTGTTGAGCGTGATACGAGGAAACGTATGGAACGTGAAGCTGAAGAACAGCGTAAAATGGATGTTGAAATCATAGAAGCTAAACGACAACAACGTAAACTTAATTTCCTTATCACTCAAACTGAACTGTACGCGCATTTTATGTCTAAAAAGCTCGGCCAGGGTACTGAAGAAGAACAACTGCGTATATTAAGCCAACTGGATGACGAAAAGAATCCACGTCTTGCTGCATATGATGACTATGACGCAGAACACATGAAACAGCTGGCACAAAAGAATGCAGAGACAGCGTTTAATACTGATCGAGTATTAAAGCATCAGTTTGATGTAGCAACAAGGATAAAAGAAGAGCAAGAAGAAGCAATGAAAACCGATGAAATAACTGGACCTCCAGTAAAAGCAGACTTGCCCCAACCGACCATATTTAAAGGCACTTTAAAAACATATCAAATCAAAGGTAAACACTTCCATCGATATAAATTTATTCATATAATTTTTATTTTATTTTACAGGTATGACATGGTTGGCTAATCTTTATGACCAGGGCATAAGTGGGATATTAGCAGATGAAATGGGTTTGGGTAAAACTGTACAATCAATAGCATTTCTCTGTCATGTAGCAGAACACTATGGAGTTTGGGGTCCTTTTCTAGTTATATCACCTGCGTCAACTTTACACAACTGGCAGCAGGAGTTAGCACGTTTTGTACCAGAATTCAATGTAGTTCCATATTGGGGTTCACCAAATGAACGTAAAATCCTACGCCAATTTTGGGAACAAAAAGATTTACATACGCGAGACGCTAGTTTTCACGTTGTTATCACATCCTATCAGCTGATTGTATCTGACTATAAATATTTTAATCGTATAAAATGGCAATATATGGTATTAGACGAAGCACAAGCAATAAAAAGTGCGTCCTCAATGCGTTGGAAATTGTTGTTGGGCTTTAATTGTCGAAATCGCCTACTATTGAGTGGCACACCGATACAAAATAGTATGGCTGAACTATGGGCTCTGCTGCACTTTATAATGCCAACACTATTTGATTCACATGATGAATTTAATGAGTGGTTCTCAAAGGATATTGAATCTCATGCTGAAAATAAAACAGGTATCGATGAAAAGCAAATCTCAAGATTGCACATGATACTCAAACCGTTTATGCTGCGGCGCATTAAAAAAGATGTGGAGAACGAACTATCAGACAAAATTGAAATCATGGTTTACTGTCCACTAACCATAAGACAGAAACTGCTATATATGGCACTTAAAAAGAAGATACGAATTGAGGATCTACTACACCTAACACGAAGTGGTGCAGGCAGTTCCAGCGATGGTGGACATGTTGATCGCAATTTCACTTCAAATCTTATGAATTTAGTTATGCAGTTTCGAAAAGTGTGCAATCATCCAGAGCTTTTTGAACGAAGAGATGTTAAGAGCCCTTTTGCTATGCGTTGTCAAGAGTATGTGATGCCACGCTTGGTATATGATGATGGCGTACTTAAAACAGCTTTGCCTAGTAAACGCCATTTGCTCTATAACAGGTTAGAAATGCTTTTTTATTTTTGACTTCCTAACAGTAATTAATTATATCAAAATATTTCAATTGATTAGGTTTCTTATATACAAAGCTGAACATGTACATCGTTCTATGTTTAGTGAACCAAAAGCAAATAACATTCAAAAAAGTGGGGAAAACTATTCCCGATATATCGATCTAAATGTAAGTGATGATTGCTGTTTTAGTTTTACGCGTTTAAGTGATATATCACCAAAAAATTTGGAAGATATGACTGTTGGTGGACTAATTAGTTCGTAAGTTATGCAATACATAATTTCAAACCTGAGGGTTTTAGAGAAATAAAAATATTTGTTCTATTTCCCAGTTTACAACATTATCGCTTTTTACTCATTTTCTATAAGTTGCTATCGTATCGTCGATTATGGTGGACGAACTATAAACCCTCACGTTTTCAGTTACTAGAACCGATGTTAGAAAATCCCATTGAGCAATGCACTCTATTTGAAGACAGTATTTTAAAGAGCTGCATATTCACAAGCATGGTAAGAATATGCACTAGCACTTTTAGTCCTTTGGGAACCTTAGTCTCTATTATGTATTTATCTAATTATCTATATATTTTATCATAAAAACATAAAAACATTTTATTTTATTAGATTGGAAATGACAGTAGTGTGTATGCGTTTGGAGATTACATTGTTGTAAATATGCAAGAAACCATGGAACATCGCGTTATACGTTCAAAACGATTCAAAAGCCATAAAATCCTGAATGAAGAAGCTAATATAAAAGATATAAAGAAAGAGTCTGATATAGACATTATGACATGTGACGACGAAGTTACGAGTGTAAAATCGCAGCTCCTGGAAGGTCAGTCAAAGAAAACAAAAACAGGAACGAATGAACTCCTGCCCGAATTTCCATACATTGCACGCAAACCTACTAGATTTTACTGTGAACCATTAGAAATGCCAAAATTTCTATATGGTTTGTGTCCACGAGTACAGGCAACAAGAAGAAGGATGTAGTAAGTGTCAATACGATTTAGTAAATAGCAAATCCACTTAAATTCATTTTGAATTTTTTTTAATAGCTGTGAAAGTCGTGCAGCCGAGTGGTCACATATTCGACATATGCAATGTGAAAACCCTGATGGACAACAATTGGTTTATAGTAGCTTAGATATTTGCAAACCACGTAGTGGGTGGTCATCACTTATTATACCGGACAAACAAACACTTGTATCAGATGCTGGAAAACTATCAGTGCTGGATAGTCTCTTAACGCGACTCAAATCACAAGGACATCGTGTATTAATTTATTCACAAATGACCAAAATGATTGATCTTTTAGAGGTAAGTGTGATTTTATTCATAATATGGTAACTTTTTTGCAAAAATGGTATGATTTAGGAATATATGTGGCACCGAAAACATCGCTATATGCGATTAGATGGTTCTAGTAAAATTTCAGCACGTAGAGATATGGTCGCAGATTTCCAAACACGTGCAGATATTTTTGTATTTTTACTTTCGACGCGAGCGGGTGGCTTAGGCATTAATTTAACCGCAGCTGACACAGTAAGTGCTTTATTTGTAATTATTTTAGTATATATATTTAGATTTATACCCTGTGCTCAAAATGAAACAATAAGTGCATGTATAGTGGCAGTGCGCACATTTTCCAAATTTCTACCACTTACGAAATACGATCCTATGATACGAATCCAATGACAATTTTTTCAAACTGCGAAAACGAGAGAGTTTGATCATCACTGTAGTAATGAAAAGATTTTAAAGATACTGGTGACACACACCGCTCACTAAAATAAATTATAGCTCTCAAACTGTAAGGAATTACAAACTGTTGTCGTCCGTCGCCGGTTATTAGGCG